CACCACCAAAACTAAGAAGTAAAAAGTGTTGCAACTACATATAGCCTGTGTATATCCTCCTGTAGATTTCAAATCTCCTCTAGATTATGTATTATAGCAAGTTCAAATTCAATGGAAATTGTATGCAATATTGCCTAGAAAATAAAAATTTTGTGCATTTGGCAGGATATTCAAATGTGGAATTCAGGAATACCAAAAGCTAATTGTATCACATATTATTACCATTATCATCATCATCTTCATCATCATTATTTTAAAGGTAATACTCAAAAATATCTGCTCTTCTGTGTATGTTCTGTCATCTCCAAGGTAGTATACATTGGACATCTTTTCTTTAAACTACTTAGGACCAGAAGTATTTCAAAAACTTTATTAAATTATAGAACTTTTCTTTACACTGCTTAGGACAAGAAGTATTTCAAAAACTTTATTAAATATTAGAATACCATGTATAAAGGAGACATGGTCCAGGACTTTATATAAAATTCCTTTTATTTCCTATCCATCTTATACATATCTAAGCCTGGAAGGTAGTTTTACACAATACTCTTTAAGCATTGTATGTATGAATCAAAGTGACCCATCAGGACTCACTCATTGATTTCCATCACTTGGCTGAATTAATGATGTCACATTTGGGGAAAATACACACATGGTATACATATTAACTTGGTGAGAGTTTCAGTTGGAAGATAAGCAGAACTGTTGTAAGGGATGAAGAAAATCATGCTGATTTTACCCAGGCCAGCTTCCTTAAAGTATGTCATATCAATAAACTGGTATCAAATGTATATAAAACCAATGTTGCAAAATCTTGACCATCCATGCCTTTTAAACAGTGTGGAAATAAGATTCTTCATTCACAGTTGTTACATTTACCTACATCTGCATCATGGGTTTATCAGTACATATATTCTGTCTTTGGTTTTCTGAATGCCTCTAGTAGTCTTCTAACAGCTGTGGTCAGTATTTTCTGGCCATCATGTTAAATGGCCAGATTTGCCAAGGTTCTGTCAATTTTGTTAATTTTTTCCAAAGGACAAACTCTTTGTTTTATTGATTCTTTTTATTTTTTTGTATCTAATTCATTTCTGTTTTTTAAATTATTTATTTCCATCTATTGGCTTGAGGTTTGGCTTGTTCCTCTTTTGCAAGCAGCTTAAGGTGCATAATTAAATTGTTGGTTTGAGATTTCTTCAATTTGTTGATGTAGGCACTCAAAGCTATAATTTTCCCTCTGAGTATTGCCTTTACTGTGTCCCAAAGGAGCTGGTAATTTGCTTGAATTTCCTTTCTGATCTCTTTAATGACCCACTAGTCATTCAAATTGTGTGTTGCTCAGTCTCCATGAGTTAGAGAATTGTCTATGGTGGCTTTTAGTGTTGAGTTCTAATTTTATTCTGTTGTGATCTGACAGGATGCAGGAGTAATTTCAGTATGTCTTAATATGCACAGATTTGCTTAGTGACCTAAAAATGTGATCTGTTTTGGAGAATGTTCCAGGTACTGCTGAGAAGAATGAATATGCTGATGTTGCTGGGTGAAATATTCTGTAGATCTCAGTTAAATCTAGTTGATCAATGCAATTATTTAGGTTTGAAGTTCCTCTGCTGAGTTTTTGATATATCCAAAGATGACAGTGATGTGTTAAAGTCACCAACAATCAATGTGTTTGGATCTATGTGTGTTTTAAGGGTTAGAAGTATTTGTTTGATGACGTTCGGTGATCCAGCAGTTGGTATATAGATATTTAGAATTTTTATATCCATCTGTAGGAGAGATCCACTTATTTGTATGTATGCCTTCACTGTCTCTTCTCATAAGTTTAATTTGAAATCTATTTAAAGTCTATTTGATCTGAGTATTGCAACTTTGGCCTGTTTATGGGGGCTGTTTGCTTGATAGATTTTATTCCAGCCTTTCACTTTCAGAATGTTTGTGTGGGCAAGGTGTGTCTTTTGAAGACAGCAAACGCATGGATCTTGTTGGAGAGTTAAATACATTAATATTGAGAGTTAGTACTGAGAAGTGTTTGATAGTTCCTTTTTAGGAATTGTGCCTCATCATTTCTTACTGTATTTATCTGGTCATATGGTAAGGGACAGTTTCTCTGCCAATATAATTTTTTTTGGGGGGGTTCTATGTGTAGTAGGTCTTTAAGTAGCTTCTGTAATGTGGGTTTAGTGGAGATACGCTGTTTCCATTTTTCCTTGTTGTGGTTTTTATTTTCCCTTGGTTATGAAGGAGAGCTTAGCTGGGTACACTATTCTTTATTGGTAGTTGTCTTTAAGGCATGACATACCTCAATTCACACACTCCTCGATTTTTTGGTCTTGGAAGATAAATCTGTAGTTATTCTGATTGGATTTCCTTTACAGGTAATTAATCTTTTCTTCTTGACAGCTTTAAGGATCTTTTCCTTGAACTCTAAAGATCCTGTGTGAATTTAAGTGTGGTCATGAAATGTTCTGTTTGGGATTCTAAAGGTTTCTTATATATGAATGTGCTTATTATTTTGAATGTTTGGGAAGTTCTCTGCTAGGATTTTGCTAAATATATCTCCTATATAATTAGCTTCCTTCTCTTGTCCTACATCAGTACCTATTAAGCCTAAATTAGGTATTTTAAGTCATGAAACTCCTGTAAGGATTTTTGTTTCTTAGATTTGTTCTGAATAATTCTATTCTTTCTCTATAATATCTGGACTGTCTTCAATTCCAGAAACTGTCTTCTATATCATCCAGTCTGCTCTCAAAATATTCCAGTTTGCTTTTTATTTCCCTGACTTCTAATCATTTTTGATGGCTCAAGTCTCTTAGTTGAAGCCTTGTTTTAGGTCTGTATGGACTTACTTCCTTGATTTTATTTCAGTGGGTTTTCTCATATTCTTTAGCTGAATGACAGTTTTTTTTTTCCATTGGACTCTCTTTCCTAGTCTTGGAATTCAGTTTGCTTTCTGTTTGTGGATTCCACAAATTCCTCTCACAACTTCCATTTGTCGTATCACAGTCACACAAAGCCTTTTCCAGGCTTTCTTTTCATTCAACATATTTATCAGCAGTGTTTATAAAACATTTTGAGAATTATCCTCTAGATCTTTCATTGACTGTTCTATTACCTGGTTATTTTGAGTGGGAGTTGAGGTTCCTTGATTTACCATTTTACTTGTATATCTATGGTTTGTTCTGCTCAGTTGGAAACAAGAGCAAATCCAATCCCACAACTGCCTTTGCTGCAGCTCCCTAGGCTGCTGCCACCACCTTTGGTGGGTGCTTAATTCTGCCTTCTTATGCAAGTGGCTTATAATTTTCATTTATAAATCCATGTGTAATTATAGCTTACTTGGTGTGACTTACTTGGTAGATAACTCAATGCAACCCTAAAACTCTGCTTCTTTGGAAAGAGCTGTATTGGTTCTCTGTTTTCTTTCCACCATCTTCTCCCACATCTCCCTTTCAACATTTTAACCCATCCTTCCCCTACCCAACCCTTCCCTCATTGTTCATAATTTTGTAGGATATATATTGGGATTCATTTCTGCACTTTTCTCCCACTCTCTCAACATTTATGTACTGCTTTCCCCTTGATCCAATCACAATTCTTTACAGTACCCATATTTCCTAGTATGTTATTCACTGAAATTTGATTTTGAATTTCTAAGAAATTGATTTGAGATCTTTGAATTGACCACATTTCAGTTAGTACATTTGTACACAATTGCATACTACCCAACATATTTATGAGATGTAATCTAAATCTAGCTTCCATATTAGGAAGAACATGGATCCTTTGGCTCTCAGAGCCTGACATACCTTCAATGAACATAATTTTTACAAGACTTTGCATTGCTTTACAAATGGTAAAATATCATTCTTTCTAATTGGCAGGAAAAATTCATTGTGTATACATACTACATAATTTTCAGCTTGTTTTTAATGCATTTAAGTATAAACTTGTTATTTGGTGATATATTATTTGACAGCCCATGTAGAATTACATAAATTATAAATTATCCCCTTCATTTCATTGTGTAACCAAAATAAATTAGTAGTTGAAGAGGAAAGATCATCAAATAACATTTTAGAAGTAAACTTTGTAGCAATTTTAGAAATTATGTGAAGGCAGGATAAAGAAAAAAGTCTATAACTCTAAGGGAAATAACTTGTGATATCTCTTCATCATACTGTCTTCATTTTTCAGGTACTCAGATATCCATCAAAGAATATAAAAGAAAGAAAAAGATAGGGTAGAAAGGAGAGAAACAAGGAAGGAAGAGAAGGAAGGAGGGAAAAAGGAGGGGGGAAGAGTGAATTATGGAAAAAAGGAAGGAGGGAAGAACAAGACATTTTAGGGGCATGTTGCCACTATGTATTCATTATGAAATAGTAATCCAAAGAGGATTATTTCATTCATGAGGTTGAAGCATAATGGAAGAAAAGGAGATTATTAGAAAATTGAAGACTAACACTAAACTATGGATCTGAGACTTAATTCTACTGATATTGGTACTGCTAATTTAGTGCTGGACACATGGTATATATCAGATAAGAGCTTAAAGTGCTGGGATTCAGAACTCTGAGGCTCACAGTACAGACAGCTATGCTAGCATCTCTGAGGTTGGCAATGTGGTTGGTGAATTTAAAAACATAGGAGGCAAATTAAGACCATGTATCATTGTGAAGGCAAAAACAGCTTGGTAGATTTCTAGGTTACAGATCATTCTCTCTTACAGAATCCTATAATCCTCTAAGGACTCTGCTTTCACAGCAGAAATGTGGAATTAGTAAATGTAAATAAATATATAGATATAGATATAGAGATAGAGATAGATAGATAACAGGAATCTTACTGCTCATAATAAATAACTAAAAAATGTCCACTGCTCATTTGCCATATATTTTTTTTCAGGAAAAGAGAGAAATATAAGGGGAAAGTTTCCTTAAATTGTGCATTGTTCAAAGTACTATACTAAAAGCTATAAACACACTGGCATTTAAAATTTAACTGATACGGAAACTTTTAATGGATGATAATCTTGAGCTTATTACTGATGACCTTCTTGATGCAGATGGTTTGTGGCGAGACACAAAGCTCTGTGTACTTTGAGATCTTCCTTCTCCTTTTTCTTCGTCCTTATATATTTCTGTCACGCAAAGATAGACAAGAACACCTACTAAAATACACAAAATAATAAGCAGCAGAAGACACAGGTAACAAATCTTATTTCTCTGCTCTCTCTTCGGGGGTGGGCCACTGTCAACACTGCCTCCATGGCCTGTGCTTGCACAGTTGGGAGGGTCCCACAAATAGTTGCAATGGCAGTGATGTTTATTGTTGCAGATCCCTCTCATATTACACGACGTAGGAGAACAATTACTATCCAGCACGGAGATATGCTGGCACTGCCTACGGATGCAAATATGATCCACACCACACTCTATGCCATCTTTCACAGCACCAATGTCAGGTATTTTCAGGCCAGGATGGAAATCAGTTCCCCAGCACATGATGTTATTGAAGTTAGCAAGGTGCACAGTGTTATGCTCTGTCAAAACAGGAAGTTTGGACACATTGTCACACTGAACTCGGCCACACAGGACATCCATGGGATCGCATTTCTTATATGAAACACCATGTAAGCCACAATGACCAAAACGGGTCCCTTGGATGTTTATGTGATCATAGCAAATCTGATGTGCACTCTTGGACGTGGGGCCAAAAATGTCCCTACACAGTTTATTGCGGTCATTACATTCCCTTGCATAACAGTAAGAGGTCTGACTACAAGGAATTCCATCTTCCACATATACATCATCGGGACATTTATGAGAAGTTCCATTGCACCATTCTGGAAGATCACAGAGATTCACTTCTTTTCTACACATTTGCCCTGAGGGCAAAAATTTGCACTCTTTACTACAGCAAAGTCCAAAGGCACAATTAGATCCATAACTCAGAGTACAGTTGGGCATGCAACAGGGATCTTTTTCACAGCGCAGTAAAGGTCCACAGTCACATTCTTCTTCTCGTTCAACAATGCCATTCCCACAACGCTCAAAGGCAAATATGTCCTTCGTGTGTGTTGTTTCCATCATACACCTTGTATTCCTTACAATGTATTCAAAAAAAGCCTGATAACTACAATTGCTAAATTTAGGTGTGGGTGGGTTATCCTCATGCATTAAACATTTCCAGTGCCCACACTTACACATTGGTTCATCATGCGCCATGCCCAAATTATGACCTATATGATGACACACTGAAATTGCAAACAGCGTTACAGTTCTGTCTATGAATGTGACAATTGCACAGCTCCATGCTGGACGGCACATGCCTTTAACATGTGCTAAGCCACTTAGTCCTCTGAGGTGGTTATTTATAAAAAGGTGCACAGTATCATGAGGTATTCGAGGAGTAATGTTGGTCATTTTCCATCTGCAAAATAGGGACAGAGAATGCATTCCATTATATGTTTTAAATGGGTTTCTTTCAGTCCAGATCTCCAAACCACACATTAATACATTAATACCCATAGGAGCAAAAATTGTATCCACTATATTTGATACAACAAATAGCTCGTCCATCAGCTTTGACTTATTCTTTTCAAATCTGATGTATATACTATTATCGGCCACCATTGCATATTCAACAGTCCTATAATGGACCCACCAGCCTTCATACCCAGGCAGATATTGGTTCCGGTTGGATTGGGCACTCTCTTGCAACTCTATTGGGAGTGGAATTTTATCTGACATCATGTTAGATTTGCTGACATTTGCTGTTTCCTCACTGTATAACTTGTACACCCAGTGTTGAAATGTAGTAGAAGACGTTATGGGCATGATTTCATACGTAATGTTGTTTGTCTCTAGCATCCCTTGAAAGCCCCCGGTGCAATCACTCATGGCGACCAGCGATTTTGGGTCCCCCTCCACAAAGCCATAATAGTAACAGTTATCCTGAACATGAGGATAGTCCTCAAGCAGAGTACCCTGGTCTGTATAGGTGAACACTGGTAAGTTTTTGACTATCAAATTTTTCTTGGCCTTCATGTGGATGATGTGTCTTTGACCTTCAATGTGCAGGCTATAGGAAATCCAGCCTGGTATCTTCATTCTTCTGTCAGTGTCACTTAACCTCAAGGGAATTGCTACCTCTGGGGGGTAGTGATATTTGAGAGGCTCAGGCTGAGTGAGTCCCAAAATGGGCAGAGCCACTCCAAACCAGTGTAACAAGAATAAGATCTTCATGTATAACAGAGTTTCTATCGCAGTTATAATGAAATCCACTCTACACAAAAACGTTCGTTTAGAGAAAATGGATGTAAGAATCAGAGCTAGAGTGGCTGCTTCTTCTGAGATGGTTAATGTGCAGTACTACTGATTGAGGATCTGTCTTCTGCCAGTTGAATCATTAGAGCTACATCCCTGTAAAGCAAAATACAAAGCAGCATGTGAACAGAAGTAGTAATGAGGCAGTAGTAATGAAACACAGTGGCGGGGAAAAGGAGAAGTGTATAGGATAAGCAGTCTGTGATTTGATCAAGGAACTGGCTTCTTACTTGCTCTTGACTTGGATCTTAAAGCCTGACCGGGCATTAAAGTCTTCAGACTTTGCCTCCAATTGACTAACAAAAAGCTAGCCTGTAAGTGTTGCAGAAATATGAGAATTTACCACTATAATCAAGAATGCTAGTTTTCTAAAGGCTCCAAAATTCTTACCTTTACAAAAAGAGAAACACCAAAAGGAAGATTGTGGAGAGATGCGGTTAGTAGGTGTATAGATAATGATAGTTGACAATAGAATGTTGACAAGTATAGTGTATTTATTACATTGTTTCATGGGCGTTTTGGGTGTGTGTGTGTGTGTGTGTGTGTGTGTGTGTGTGTGTGTGTGTGTAATGATTATAGCTACTGGTCATAAGGGATTTTTTAAAAAGAAGAGCTAAAGAGACCAATTTATTCATGAAATGTGGAGAATTATCCTTTGGGCTAATTTAATGTAACTTTCTGTTTAGGCAGTTTATCTAGAGAATCTAGTCAATAAGAGAATTACATTTTGAATCAAAATGAAATTTAATTAATGTGAGAATTAAAATTTAAAGAATAACTTGAATTTGATAATGGCCCTGGGTTTTTCCTTTTGCTAGGGTAAGACCAAACTTGGGATCTTTCTACATATTTTTTTCAACTTTTCTATTTGTTGACATTGCTGTCTAGAATGACTCTTCAGTAGATATTATCAGTGCAGCAAACATTGATAGGTTTTCAGTGAATATGTTTATTAATGATTTCTGCTACTCTCTTCATGGCAGCTCTGCTGATAAATTCCTGAGTTAACACAGAGTACAGGAAGGGGACTTGGTCAGATGTGTCCTTGGCTGATAATTATATAGTCGTATAAGCATTGGAACTTATGCTCTGAGAGAGTCCTTTGAGTTTTCATTTCTGTTATTGACTGTATAAAACTGGAGGGTGAACATATGTAGTATTGTACCTGAAATATAACAAATAAGGAGTGTGTGCAAATAAACAATAAGACAGGACAAAATCAGATGAAGCTTAAACTAGGCAGCTTGATAAAGATAAATAGATAATTGAAATAAAGAGAGTAGCCTAAAAATGTTTTCAAAAGCTTCTAAAGAATATTTGAGGGGCTGGGAAGGTGGCTCAATGGTAGAGTGCTTGCCTTACATGCACGAAGCCCTGAGTTTGATTCCTTAGCACCATGTAAGCAGGAAAAGCTGGATTTGGCGCTGTGGCTCAAGGAGGGGTAGTGGGCTAGCCTTGAGCTGAAGAGCTGAGGAACAGCGCCCAGGCCCAGAGTTCAGGCCCCATGACCGACAAAAAAAAAAAAGAAAAAGGATTATTTGAAAAGTATAGTTTAACAGAATCCAAATGCCTAAGTGTAGGATTTCCCAGAAGAAATCTATTCTTTTGCATTAAGATTGTCAGCATCTATATTGTTGGAATTGTTAAGTCATGAATAAACTTTTAGAGTAGACTGATCATAGCAGGAGAATGATATAACCACTTCTGAAAGAGAACCCCATTTAACAAAGCAAACAAATACTTGAGGAAAATTGGATACCACTATTGGGTAGCTATGGAAACAGAGGTTTCTTTTTTTGTTGTTTGTTTTTTTGTCGGTCATGGTGCTTGAACTCTGGGCCCGAGCACTGTCCCTCAGCTCTTCAGCTCAAGGCTAGCACTCTACCAGTTGAGCTACAGCGCCACTTCCGGTTTCCTGGTGGCTTATAGGAAATAAGAATTTCATGGACTTTCCTGCCCTGGCTGGCTTTGAACCGCAATCCTCAGATCTCAACCTCCTGAATAGCTAGGATTACAGGTGTGAGCCACCGGCACCCTGAAGAGGATTTTAATTCTTATAAAAATTCACTTTAAAATATTTTATTGCACCATTGTCTCACACCTGTAATCACAGATACTCAGGAAGCTGCGACCTGAGGATCTCAGTTCAAAGCCAGACCTAGAAGGAAAGTCCTGAGACTCTTATCTCCAATAAACCACTAGAAAACTGGACGTGGCACTGTGGCTCAAGTGATAGAGTGCTAACCTTGAGCTGAAGAGCTGAGGGATAGCACCCAGGCCCAGAGTTCAAGCCCCAAAACTTTACTGTTCATAGTTTGGATAGAAGAGTTGTTTTTTTTTCTCCTTTTCTTTTCTTATTTATTTATTTTTGTCAGCAGTGGGTCTTGAACTCATGGCCAGGAATCTGTCCCTGATCTTTTTTTCTCAAGACTAACACTCTACTACTTCACATGAAAGTGCCACTTCCAAAAGTTCTATTTTTTAAAATAATTTTTAATAAAACATCATTCATTTATTCATCAAACAGTGAGTAATGGCCAGTGTGAAGCATTTTTCATATGATGAATAAACAAGTTATTCAGAAACATGAATGAAGAAAGATGTGTTATTGAACTGTCATGCTTGTGAAAAGTTAATTCTGCAATCTAAAATATTTTAAGTGTATCTTTGGTACAAGAAATATGTCATGAATGGAGGTATAGTTTGAGATACTTGAGAGGGGTATGAAGAAATTATTCTGTTATTGAAGATGATACTTTATTGCTTACAAAGTACTGACAAAGAAAAGATGTCTCATTCTTTTAGAAGGTGCCAGATATAGTTCCTCAAAAAATTGACATTTATGTTTAAAATAGCGGTAGGAAGAATTGCTATATCATCTGATAAGACATGGCTAAGGATGCCTTACAGAAACAATGATTAAACAATAAAATGAAAAGTCTCAGAGCCAGGCACCTGTAGCCTATAATCCTAGCTATTCAGGAGGCTGAAATCTGAGGATCGTGGTTCAAGGCCAGCCTGGGCAGGAAAGGCCATTGAGACTCATCTCCAATACAACACCAAGAAAACCAGAAGTGGGACTGTGGCTCAAGTGGGAGAGCGCTAGCCTTCAGCTGAAGAACTCAGGGACAGCACCCAGGCCCAGAGTTCAAACCCATGACCGACAAAAAAGAAAGAGAGAGAGAGAGACGAAGGAAGGAAGGAAGGAAGGAAGGAAGGAAGGAAGGAAGAAAGAAAGAAAGAAAGAAAGAAAGAAAGAAAGAAAGAAAGAAAGAAAGAAAGAAAGAAAGAAAGAAAGAAAGAAAGAGAAAGACAGAAAGAACCAGGAAAGCAAAAGAGCAATGCAATTTACACAAAGAGAGTAATAGGTCAAGGACAAGAAAGTGAAATTAGCTGAAGACATTTATATCACCTAAAGACATTTTGATATTGACACAGGCGGCTGTGAAGTTTTCTCAAGTTTAAGATTTAGTACTTTGGGCTATTGGTCTTTAATTTGACCTTTCTTACTTTAGAAATCTTTCCGAATGTAAATCCCCAGCCTCTTCCAAATTTTACAACATGCGAATGTTAGTTCCTAGGAGCCAGTCCTTTGAAATGTAATCAAGAGAGTCCCTATCTCCTACTCCTGGTAGGAAAATTAGGGCTTTAGATTAGAAGCTAATTAGTAACACTCATGGTCTAGTTACCAACCTCCCAATGAAGCCTTTAGTTACTTGTTTATTAATTTATCCCAGCACTGAAAAATACCCTTATTTCCCTTTTTATTTTAGTCAATTGAATTGTTTGTTCTGTTGTACTAGGTCTTAACTCTTACAGTAGTCTCCTGGACTGTTAAATTCAGGCTGTTCAATTTTTCTTTAGTCTTATGACTAGACCAAGTGATAAGGTGTTTGGAGAGACAGGTAAAATACAAAACTGTAATCCCAGGATTGTAGGGAAATGCCAAGCTTATATCATTTTCTCTTATATTTCTTTATTTATCAGAGAAAGGCCATCCACCCAGCCAGTTACCTTCCAACCCCAACAGGAACTCTCATCCTACCTGGGATCAAATGGGTATTCCTCTCCCATTACCAAGCAAATACTCCCAGTAACAAGAGCAGCACCCAGCTAACATGAAGTAAGTGACCAGCATTGTCTTTCCAAGATTATCCTCAGATCTTATTCTGTACTCACAAATATCCAGCCCAAACAAATATTGTGTAGAAAATGCAAGAAATTGAATTCTACTACTCCTACATTCAATGTGCATTTAGGAAATTTGCAAGATACAAGAACAGTAAACCAACAACCAATTACAGTTCTGTACAACAAGTAATTATGTTGGAAGTTAAAATTTAACCAACTGCTGTTTAAAATTTCTCCAAAGGGAATGTAACCCTAAGTTACCTAAGAAAGCATTTATGAGATTGACACGATGAAAATTATAGAACACTAAATAAAAGAAATAAAAGAGAATGGAAATAAAGATGGATTTCAAGACAATTAAGGTACATGCATCCCAAATTATTCTGCAGTTTCAATATAAGGTAATACGAACATTGTTTTACAGGATTTTATCTGCATCTAAAATTTCAGTCTTCCAAAAAACCTACATATAAGATGGATGGGCTGCTAGTGAAAGCACGTCTAATTTCATAATGATTTGTCAACATGTTTTCTAAAAGTCTCTACTAGTTTTCTTGCTCACCACCAATATGTGAACTTCCTTACTTTTCTGCATTTTACTTGGCATTGGGGATTTTTTTTCAACCAGTCTAAGAAATTAATTAAAGTGCTTTAGCAGAAATGGACAATATAGCATTATCTTTGTTGTTTCACAACTTTGATTGGAGTTTTAAAAAAAATTTTAGCTAGGCGCCAGTGGCTCACACTTATAATCCTAGCTTCTCAGAAGGCTGAGACCTGAGGGTCGC